CATTTACTTGTTGATTCGGCGTCTTACCTGCTTTCCAGAATTTTTTATTAATGATCTTTTTTGTTATTGTTGTTATCATTATATTTTTTGTTACTGTTGTCGGTGGTGGTGTTCTTGTTCTTGTGCTTATTATATTTGGTATTGTTATTATTATCATTATCATTATTATTATTAGTAGTAGTAGCATTGTTTTTATCATTATTGTTGTCATTGTGATAATAATGATAATAATGATAATAATAATAATAATAATAATAATAATAATAATAATAATAATAATAATAATAATAATAAAAAAAAAAAAAATGATAATAATAATAATAATAATAATAATAATAATAATAATAATGATAATAATGATAATAATAACAATAATAATGATAATGATAATAATAATAAAGATTATCATTATTATTAACATAATAATAATGATAACAATAATGATAATAATAATAATAATAATAACAATAATAATAATAATAATGATAATAATAATAATAATAATAATAATAATAATAATAATAATAATAATAATAATAATGATAATAATAATAATAATTATTATTATTATTATTGTTATTGTTATTATCATTATTATTATAATCATTATTATTATTATTATTGTTATTATTATCATTATTACTATTATCATTATTACTATTATCATTATTATTATCAGTTTTATCATCATTACTGTTATTGATTTTATTATCATAATTATTATGCCTTCTCCCCCTTCTCCTCGTCGTTCTCTTCCTCCTCCTCTTCCTCCTCCTCCTCCTCCCCCTTCTATTCCTTCTTCTTCTCCTTCTCCTACACCTCCTCCTCTTCTTCCTCCTCCTCTTCCTCCTTCTCCTTCTCCTCCTCCCCTACCCCTCCTCCTCCTTCTCCTCCCCCCCCCCCCTCCTCCTCCTCCTAACCTAAGCCTCCACCCTACCCCCCCCCAGTGCCTCCTCCGGCGAAGACAGAAATATGTGCTTCATTTAAGAATATTTGTAAGGGGGGGGGGTGACAAGGAGGGGAAGGGAGGAGGGGAGGGAGAGAGGGGAAAGGCAGCTAGGATGGAGAAGGAGAGGGAAAGGGAGAGAGGGGAAGGGAGGAGGAGAGGGAGAGAGGGGAAAGGCAGCTAGGATGGAGAAGGAGAGGGAAAGGGAGAGAGGGGAAGGGTGTGGAGGAGGGAGAAAGAGAGGGAAAGGGAGAGCGAGTACGGAGGACGTAGGAGTGAGAGAAAGAGAGAGAGAGAGAGAGAGAGAGAGAGAGAGAGAGAGAGAGAGAGAGAGAGAGAGAGAGAGAGAGAGAGAGAGAGAGGATGTACGGGGTGGGGGGTAAAGAGATGAGGAAATAGGAAGTAGGAAGGGGAACGAGAGGAAGGAGAAAAGAGGGGAAGACGAAAGGGGGAAGGAACGAGAGGGGAGATGAAGGAAGGTAGAGGAAGAAGGGAAGTGGAGAGGGAAAGAGTATGAGGAAGGAGGAGGGATATGGAGACAAAACAAAAGGAAGGAGGGGGAGGAAGGGATACAGAGAAGAGAGTTAGAGAAGGGACAGATAGCAAGAAGAAGGGGAGTGTAGAGAGGGAATTTTGAAGGGAAGGAAGAGGGAATGGAGAAAAGTGGAAGAAAGAGGGAATGGAGAAAAGTGGAAGAAAGAGGGAATGGAGAAAAGTGGAAGAAAGAGGGAATGGAGAAAAGTGGAAGAAAGAGGGAATGGAGAAAAGTGGAAGAGAGGAGATGAGGAGCAAGGGGTATAAAGAAGAAGGAGCAGCATGAATACAGGAGAAGAACGTAGAGGAGAAGAAGGAGGGAAAGATTAGGGGGAATGGAGGAAGGAAGAAAATGGGAGCGAGAGGTGGAAAGGCTTAGAAGGAAGTGACAGAGCAGAAGAAAAACAGAGGGAGAGGAATTAGGGAAAAGAAAGAAGGGGGATGGAGGAAAGAGAAACAAAGCAGGAAGAAGGGGAAAGACGTAAATAAAAGGGGGGGGGGTGAGGGGAAGGGAAGGAGAGCAGGGAGAAGAAAAAGAAGTTGGTCGTACAGCCACGTCTTCTTCTAGAGATCCGTGCTGTGGCGCCTGTGTTCATGTCTTTCGTATCCACAAGAAGAATCTTTTACTTTTTTTTCTTTTTTTTTGTCATTCTCTTCATTTCCATCATTGTGATTATCATTATTGCTATATTCTTACGTCATGATTTTGTTATTTTTATTGTGTCGGTGTTTTTAGTTGTATATATATATATTTTTAGTTTATATAATTAGGAGCATTATTTAACTCTCATGATAATATTGTGTCTTTTTACCATATTTCATTCTCTATTCATAATTATTTCACGACTAGACGTCGAGTTAAGAATAATGGTTCTTATCAGAAATTGACTAATGATCATTTCT